CCATGGTAAAGTGTCAGGGTCTGGCACATCTGCCGGGGGACTACCGACCTGCAGGAGTCCCCAAGACCACCAACGTAGATGTCTCATTCAACCTGAGGGAGAGAGTGCGCGGAAGTGAAAGAAAATAGAAAAGCGGAGTCTGGAGGGCTGGCTTAGGCTATGTCCAAGCAGCAATTTTATTTTTGCAATATGTTTCCTTATATACTTTTCTGAAGTCAAAGTTGTTTACACCAGATCAACGTACTTAAGTTACAGTAAGCAAGTTACGCCCACTAAGTTACGCTCAGTAAGTAAGTTAATCCCATTAAGTAGGTTATGCCCAATAAGTAGGTTACTTTCAGTAATTAGGTTACACCCAATAGATCAATGTAAGTAAGTTACAGTCACACCCTGTAAGCTATGGTAAGTAAGTTACAGTTACACCCAGTAAGTTGGTAAGTAAGTTACCAAGTGTAAATACTTAAGTTAATATTTTACAATGAAGGTAAAAAGGGTCCAAAATGAACACAATCAAGCAATAAACCATAAGAAGCCGAAAGTGGACACATTGCCTCCCAAGTCCTCATATCCATAAAGTAATGTCTGTTAATTATTTAGAATAACATGGTCCCTCTCTCAGTTCCTGCTTTCCCTCAGCTCGACTCCCCCAACCGGGGATCTGTGTCCGGGCTCAAGCTCACCGTATGGCGAGGCCCATTTCCCAGGGGCCTCACATGGGAGCGATCCCCACAGATTCCCTCAGTAAAGGTGTATTTATGTTACATTTTCAATTTCTTTGAAATCCAGACTTCTTTATTGCACACATGACACAACTTGTAGAAAACTAGAATGTACAGAGAAACAAAAGAAAAAAAATCACTCATCCATCTATCACCCAGAGGTTTATAGTTTCCCATAAAATATATACATTTTAATAAAAATAGGTGCATGATAGATATACTCTTGTATAACTTATTTTTTTCACTAAATATATCCAGATCATCATTTCTGACTGGCTACATAAGTCACATTGGAAGATTTGCTTTTTGAGATGAAGTCTCATTTTGTTGCTCAAGATGGAGTGCAGTGGCAGAATCTTGGCTCACTGCAACCTCCACTTCCCAGGTTAAAGCAATTCTCCTGCCTCAGCCTCCCAAGTACTTGGGACTACAGGCACGCACCACCATGCCCAGTCAATTTTTGTATTTTTAGTACAGATGGGGTTTCACTATGTTAGCCAGGCTAGTCTTGAACTCCTGACCTTGTGATCTGCCTGCCTTGGCCTCCCAAAGTGCCAGGATTAAAGATGTGAGCCACCGTGACCAGCCACACACTGGAAGATTTTGCTGTGACTTCTTCAGCCTGTCCTCTGCTGAGGGCCTCTTAGACTGTTAGGTTTCACTTACCCAGTCTGGAGGCAAGATTTTCTTAGAATAAATTCAGAAAGGGAATCCATGCTTCACTTTCGAATCTATTGTAGGTCTCTGCTGGATTAAAAGAAATTGAGCCTCGTTGAGTGGCTCACACCTATAATCCCAGAACTTTGGGAGGCCAACGTAAAAGGATCTCTGGAGCCCAGGAGTTTGAAGCTGTAGTGAGCCATGACTGCACCACCGTACCAGCCTAGGCAATACAGCAAGACCCTGTCTCCAAAAAGAAAAAAAAAAAGAAAGGAGGAAGAAAAAAAAATTGAGTAAGGCAATTTTTAAAATGACAGCAAACCAAAATTTGATTCCACACTGGCAAAAATTTCTTCAAACTTTTTCTGGTAGAAACTGGAATAAAGCCTACACTCATGAAATTCTGAAGATCTATGGTTCTGGAGAAAATTCAGTACAACCACATGCTCTATGTTCCACTCCAGCTACCAGCTTCCATAGCCACAAGTTGACCCTCACCTGTAATTGCTTCATTTCAAAAATAAACTTCAGAGATTCCAATCTCTGCCTTTACCTTGCTATTATTATTCTCTGGGCATTTCTCACTCGCCTAACTGTTCTTCAACATGACAGGTGTCTCTGGGCCCTCTATCCAGCCATTCCTGTATTTTCTTTGTCTTTGTCCAGGCTTCATAGTCCATCATCAGATCTCTGCTTCTTAAGGACCACTGAGCTCCTTGCACCCTTGAATTTTCACATCACCTTTCTAGAAAGATGGAGAAATGACAGGATCTACTGATGGGGGCCACTTTGAAATCATGTTCTTCAATATGAAGAGGGCCCTTACACCACCCAGTGGCCTAACAGTCCTGTTCCCATTCATGATCACTCTAACCTTTCACTGCCTTCTCTTCATCTTCACTCTTCTCATTTTCAGCAGACTGACTTGCTGCAGGCTTTTGGAGGAACTCCCAGCCTCAGACATGCCCTCTCTCACTTTACCACCCTCCCTATAAGCTCGCTGTACACCTCTACCGTCCTGTGCTCCAAGATAAGAGGATGGCTTGTTTCTTCTCCAGTTTGAAGCCAAGCCTGTGCCTTGGATATACTGCTCACCCACCACCAAGGAGCTGTTTCTGAACATTTCCATCACTACCTCTCCGGCATGTTCAACCTCTTCATTTCAGCAGGCTCCTTGCCCTCAGCCTAGAGCTATTTTCACTTCTCTGGTTCCATCAATATTTTTACATTAACTCAATCTCTTGCCCCCCATTTTCATTCTGGTTTCCCATAGGTGGGGTCTGTCCTTCCTGTTTCCATTTTCTCTCCTTCAATCACCGACATTTGGCCTCAGCTCCCATCATTCTTTCAAAGGTTTTCTAACTAAACTCACCACTGGTTAAAAAAGAGACTTTTTCCTCCCAGATCTTATCCCTACCATACTTAACACTTTGATTGCTCTGTTTTTTTTCCCTCAACTTTGCATTATGAAAATTTTCAAACCTACACAAAATCTGAAAGAATGGTACAATGAGCACCTGTGTGGCCATCACCAAGATTCCCCAATTGTTGCCATTTTGTCTTAAATACAATCCTCCCAACCTGGTGTATGCTCCTGTATATATTTAAAAGTAAGTTGTAGACATCATAACATCTCCCTTCCAAATTCTTTAGATCATTTCCCTCCAAAATAAGGGCCTTCTCCTACATTACAATACCATCTTCATATCTAAGAAAAGTAACAATAATTTTACATCATCTGATATCAATTCCATATTCAAATGTCTCCAATTGTCCCAAGAACGTCTTTTACAACTATTTTCTGCTTGAACCAAAAATCTATTTAAATAATCAATGTTCAAATACTGAATTTGGTTTTTATGTTTATTTATTCTTTCATAATCTAAAATAGTTCCCTAGACTTCCCCCCAACCCCCATGACATTGAATTGTTTAGGAGTCTGGGTAAGTTGTCTTTTAGGATGTCCTGTATTTTCAATGTTTCCTCAGGGCATAACTTAAATTGTTCCTTTGCTCAGTAAATCGGCAGCTCAGCCTAGAAACGAGGATGAACCTTCCAGTACTGATACCTCATCAGTAAGATGTCTACTTCATGTTATATGTTGCCACTTATTTCATATTAATGGTCCCAAATTTGATCACTTTGTTTAAAGTGTGAATAAGAGATCTCTGTTGTTTGTTGTGGTTTTATGAAGGTGCGGGGGAGGTTTTGAGACAGATTTTCACTGTGTTACTCAGGCTGGACTGCAGTGGCACAATCTTGGCTCACTGCAATCTCCATACCCCGTACCCAAGTGATCCTCCCACTTCGACCTCCTGAGTAGCTAGGACCATAGAAATGCACCACCATGCTTGGCTAATTTCTTAAGGTTTTTGTAAAGATGAAGTCTGACTATATTGCCCAGGCTGGTCTCAAACTCCTGGGCTCAAGTGATCCTTCCATCTTGGCCTCCCGAAGCACAGGGATTATAGGCATGGGCCACCATGACTGGCCACAGATCTCTGGGTTTTAAAAGTACATTTTTCTTTCGTAATTATGAAGAGATCCATGAAGTCATATTTTGTATGATGGTAATATCCTACTTTAGAATCCATTAATGAATCATTTACTGCATTAGGAATTAAAAACATATTTTCTTAATTCTGTTATCTCTTCTACATTTATTAGATAACATTGTTTAGTAAGAAATTGTCCCTTTTTCTCCTTTCTCCCCCTTTTTCTTGGGATGTAAAAATACTATGAACTCATTGATTTTTAATTATGCAGTGTATTTCACTAACATGGACAGTGAAAAACTCTTTAAGCTAGCTCCTTTGTCTTTTTGATACAATCTCATTAGTTTTTGAGCACTTTGGATTACTAACAAAAAGAGATATCCTTTCCTTGCTACAGCTCTGGAATCAGTTTCTCTGAGGAGCCCTGGTTTCTTTTAATGGGAACAGCAGGTAAAAACTAGGATCTAGGTGTTACATGTGCTTATTGCTACTAGGGTGTTTGCTTTTCTGAATAATGACTTCATATTAATATTTCCAATTGAAATTAAAAATTTTTCTGCTTTTGTCACTTCTCTTTTTTCTTATACTGAAAATTTTGGTTCCTAAAATTAATAATATCAATATACTTACTTATTTGCTTTATCCCACAATATCCTTAAAATAGTTGTAAAATTAGAATGCCAATATTACTACTGACAATAAATCTACCAAGTGATGCATGCAATTTCATTATAGTACTTACTATTCTTGGGATAAATCATAAAGATACATAAAGTAATGTGTTTACAGTTACTCAAAATTATGTTTTTCTATATAGTGTCTTATCTTCCCAACAAAGAGTTAAGATCATTTGTTTTTTCTTTGTATTCAATTTTAGGATTTATCTTTTCACTTGATTTCGTATTTGTATACATAAAGTATTTATAAATTTCAAAAGTCAGAACTATATAAGTGGTATCCTCAAAGAAGTCTCACTCCAGACAGGAGTCCTCACTCTATACATCTACACCCTTCTCCATGAATATTTTCATTAGTCTCTAGTTTATTCTCTGTTTCTGTTTTAAATAAAACCATATAGACATAAACATATTATTAACTCAGTGAGTTTTACTTTACTCTTTTAAAATAATTGATCACTGAGTGCTGCTCTCCAGCCCCCTTTTCCCTCCATGGTTTCTCTCCGCTCCCGTGAGTAACTTGGCTCCGGGTGCTCCACTCGCCTGCCCGCACGCCACCAGCCGCAAAGGACCGCGCCGGCCTCCGCTGCAAGCAAACCCTTCCGACGGCCCTCGCTGCGCAGACCGGGACACCTCTCCACCTTTCGCCCCCGCCGCGGAAAGCTAAGTTTGAAGAGCGGGGAAGAGGGGAGCATGGACATGAAGAGGAGAATCCACCTGGAGCTGAGGAACCGGACCCCGGCAGTAGTTCGAGAACTTGTCTTGGACAATTGCAAATCAAATGATGGAAAAATTGAGGGCTTAACTGAATTTGTGAACTTAGAGTTCCTCAGTTTAATAAATGTAGGCTTGATTTCAGTATCAAATCTCCCTAAGCTGCCTAAATTGAAAAAGCTTGAACTCAGTGAAAATAGAATCTTTGGAGGTCTAGACATGTTAGCTGAAAACCTTCCAAATCTCACACAACTAAACTTAAACTGAAAGATATCAGCACCCTGGAACCTTTGAAAAAGTTAGAATGTCTGAAAACCCTGGACCTCTTTAACTGTGAGGATACTAACCTGAATGACTACCGAGAGAGTGTCTTCAAGCTCCTGCCCCAGCTTACCTACTTGGATGGCTATGACCGAGAGGACCAGGAAGTACCTGACTCAGATGCCAGGTGGATGGTGTGGATAAAGAGGAGGAGGATGAAGAAGGAGAAGATGAGGAGGATGAGGATGGTGAAGAAGAGGAGTTTGATGAAGATGTATGTGATTACGATGGAGTCAGTGAGGAGGAAGAAGAATTTGGACTTGAAGAAGATGAAGATGAGGATGAGGATGAAGAGGAGGAAGAAGGTGGGAGAGGTGAAAAGAGGAAGAGAGAAACAGATGATGAGGGAGAAGATGATTAAGACCCCAGACGACCTGCAGAAACAGAACTGTTCAGTATTGTTTGGACTGCTCATGGATTTGGTAGCTGTTGAAAAAAAAAAGGTAGCTGTGATACAAACCCCAGGGCACCCACCTGGGGGTGACATTCCACCTTCCTTCAATGTAGTCCCTCTTGGTAATCTACCACCAAGCTTGTGGACTTCACCCCAACAAGATTGTAAGCATTTTTAGGTTCTTGTGTAAGACTCTTGCTGTAGCATGGATAGCTGTGATTGGTCAGTCAACCGTCTGAGGCTACCAGTTACACCGAGACCGTAACAGCACTTTTACTTTCTGTACAATAAAAATGCTCTGTAAATAAAATCTTAACATTTTGGGTCTGTTAAAAAATAATAATAATTAAACACCATAGTCATCCATCAAGTGAATGTACTTATAGCTGTTTCTAATAGATTGTTTCTAGCCTTTAGTTATTACTCGTAATGCTGTAATGAACAACCATGTGCATGTATGTTTTTACATTGTGGAGGTATATCTTCAGGATAAACTGGAAATAGATGTCAAAGGGTTTGAATCAAAGGGCAAATCTGTTCATAAGTAATTCTATTGCATATTGAAAAATTCTCCTCCCAAGAGGTTATGCTTCTACTACCAGCAGTGTAAGAGTAGGTAATCTCTAGTTGATTTCCTTGATACCATGACACTATGCCTTTGTTAAATTTCTTATTCCTTTCTGGTCATTCTTTTCTTTTGTCTTTCTGAATTCTTCCTTCTCTGATCATACTTCAGTTCTATTTGTTTGAACCTTATCTATCTTCCCTGACTAGTATTATTCATTGTCCATGTCAATTAACACCAGTACTCCAATAACTTCCACACCTACATTTGCAGAACAGACAGCTTCCTGGAGCTTCATGTCTTCATCTGCTTCCTTAAGATTTCCATCCTTAGATGTCTTGCAGGTATTAAAACCATAACATCCCTCTAAAATTGCCTCTTGGATGCCACCACCATCTAGGTAGACATCACACTTCCAGGCCTGCTAGTAGCCCTGATTTCTCCCTTTCACTTACCCATCGGGCGCTGGTTTTACCTCCTGCACATCTCTAAAATGAGTCTCTCTTTTACACCCTAATACCATTTGCCCTCTCAGGGCCTCTTCTACTCTCCTCAAGAGCACTGCAGTAGTCTTCTAGCTTGTTTTCTGTCTCCAACCCTCGGTTCTTCTGAAAATCTTCTCAACACAACTGCTATACTGAAATTTTTACAGATTTCTAAGTTCTGCATTGCTTAAAGTGAAAAGCATTGCATTTACTTTTTATAATCACTACTGAGTTGCTAATCAATAAAACCTATCTAGAGTCCATACATGCTCAGATTTGTAGTGGGGAAAACCTTAGGTAGTCATTTAAAATGAAAAGCCGTGTTCATAGACTTTCTAAAAGGGACCCTTCCCAGGGTCACTATTATTAGAGGGAGCACTATGTATCTGGTGATTTGAACCAAGACCCAGCCAGCATCATGCTACTATAACCAGTTTTTTTTTATATAGCAAAGATTTCCTAACAGATGAAAAAGAAGATTCTTTAAAGGTGGTGAACTTAAAGTGATTCGTGATTTAAACTACCAAACAAGTATTAACTTAACTTAGTTAAGAGAGAAAGACAGATTGAGCAAGGCAGTGAAAGGACTTGGTAATTAAGATGGTAATTTATATTACCATCTTAAATTCCTAAAAACTTGAGTATATTTAAATGTAAAGAGAATCGCAATGACGTTAACATTCAGTATAGCACTCTAGCGAAATGAGGATTTGCCTACAACATAAAACTCTAAAGTTTTATATTCTCTGTTCTTTGGAGGAAAAAGAAAAAGAATCAGATTTTAAAATAGAAAATCATATAGCAATTCATGCATAAAATGGTTTATTACCTTATGGGTTTAGGTTACTTGTTTAAGTTATTACTTTCATAGTAACAATCAAAAGTGACAAAGGTATACATTTTCCAAATAGAAGAAAACAGATAAAATTATCCTATTACCTGTTGACCATCTGAAACAGAAAGGTCAACACATTTTTCAGCAAAGTCAAATAATAGCTTCAAAAGAAAAAATATTTTTTACAAAAAGCAAGAAGCTAGGAATCAACTTTGATTCCAATGAATATTAACTGATTTCCCCCTAATTAATATTAATTATGTCGAATAAGAATTTAGTTAAAGAATTCTCTATGATAAAACTATAGATCACATTCAATGTTGTCATTTCTATCCTTTTTGGAGTGTTGTTTTTTAAAAAGCAAAAAAATTAATAGATTCTCATCACAGAACTGATTTTATGAAACCCCCTACCCCTGCAAAGCCATCTCACCCCCACCTCTAAAGGGAACTAGAATTAGACTTAGGACATCTGATATGTAAAATGAGCAAACAAATGTAAAAATACCCGAAATGCTAAATATAGGGAAATTATATAAAAGTAGCTAATGTACGAGCCTCCCTCTGCTGTTGGGATTGTACAGGAAAATATCTGTAGGTTAATACTGGAAAAAGGGTGCCACATGGAGCCACCTAAGAGCTGCTTGTTTACATTTGATCTCTGCTGCCTGAACCACAGGCCCATGGTATGCCACGGGGTTACCCACAAACACAGAGGGCTTTTGAAAAAGTCAGAGCCTTTGATTCTTCCCTCTACAGAACCTTCATCTATGCTATCTAAACAAACTCTCTGGAGGTATGTTTATATCATGTAGAAAGAGCTGGAAAACTAACAATCACACTGTGTGAACAATCCTTTCAGCTAGTTCTTGCCTTCCATGGCTGACTGTTGATCTATGGAAAAAAGAAAATTCAAACAACATCCATATTTATTGTCTGTAGTCCCTCGTACTCTAAAAGTTAGCTGAGAAGAAAAAATATCAATTGTCCCATTTACTTGTTTGGCAATTTAGGGGGTGTTGCTTCCAGGAAAAAAAAAAAAATCCTAATGGGACTCCACCTCAAAAATCAATTTGATTTTTAAAAAACAAGCTGGAATAGACTTTCTCACTACTTTCTAAAGGCCAAAGCAAGGTATAGTGGGAAATTGAGTTCTAATAAGTATGTGAAGTCTGCTATAGGAAATCATGAGATTCCCCTGTCTATCATTGATTGATTGTGTGATTTGAATTTGCCTGGCTCCATACTAAGGCTTTGCATGGTCACTAGAGATAATTAGAAGCTGAGAGTACATAGAATCTGAAAACGTAGTAAGGAATTAATAAACCTCAGTATTTTAGAGTATAATGAATTTAAAGGAAAGAATATGAATTTAATGCTAAAACATTAGATTCCATATCATAATCTACCCTAAGAAGTATAAAAGGTAAAACAGAAAACTCTACACACCTTTCTATCTTTTTTTCTTTTTTTTGGAGAAGTCTCACTGTTGTCGCCCAGGCTGGAGTGCAGTGGCACCATCTCAGTTCACGGCAACCTCTGCCTCCCAGGTTCAAGCGATTCTCCTGCCTCAGCCTCCCAAGTAGCTGGAATTACAGGCATCCATCACCACGCCTGGCTAACTTTTGTATTTCTAGTAGAGATGGGGGTTTCACTGTATTGGCCAGGCTGGTCTTGAACTACTGATTTCAGGTGATCCACCCATCTTGACCTCCCAAAGTGCTGGGATTATCGGCATGAGCCACCCTTTTCTTCTTAAGGCATGTTTGCATGAGAATCAGAGCTGGCTCACTAGAGAGGCCTGGGCCCCCCCAGTTCTCCTATGTAAGTCTCTGCTGCCTCCAATTCAACTGGATTGCTCCACTCAGGAGAAGCAGCTGGAGTCTTCCTCCTGTGCTGGTTGGCAGTCTAGGTAACAGACCAAGAATAGAATCTGGAGTAATGTCTGTGCAGATATGCCTTAAGGTAAAAACAAGATTTCACGCATTTTAGTTTTTATTTATTTGGCTAAGCTAAAGTTCTTGACTATTTTTTAATCATCTAAATGTGACTTTTTTATTTTTTGACTTTAAAGATACATATCACTTCTAATTCTCTTCCATACTCCCTGGTCTTTTCAAAATAGTATACATAACTGTCTTGAAACTTGTTTTTATTTTTCAAAATTAGCTTTCATTTGGATTCTAAACAATTGGGTTTTATTCTTTGTTTGGGTAATCCTGTAATGCAAGGGAAAGAGAACTGGCCCCAGTGAACATGTTGAATCATCAAAAACAACTCTATACCTTTGTTTGTTGGCCTTATTTTACAAAGGGGAAGCTGAGGGGTTGTGACTTGCCCAAGGTTGCCCCCCATTCAGAGACTAGGGAAGCTGGGATTCAAACCCAGATATTCTGATTGCTTGGCCCTACTCTTGACCATTACCAAAATCATTGTTCTGAAAATCATTCAGCTCTGCCCTTAACCCATTTATGCCGGAGGTTGCAACTTTTTGAGTTTTTGCAATCAGACCTTGGCAATTACCTTGAGCAGTAGGATATAAATCACTCCCATATGCTCAGCATTCCAATAATGGAACACTAGGCATAAATGTTTAATTTGGTTGTTCTCAGATAAATTCTAAACATTCATTAGCCTCAGTTTAATAAATAAGGAAATCAGTCTAATTTTCTTATGCCAAAACTTTCAATTGCCTTTTACCTCCACAACGAATGGGAACTTAAGCTCTTACACCAAACTTCAAATTTTCAAATTTGCTAGTTCCTGAGTATAAATCCCTGTGGTAGCTTAGATAAAGGGTCTCTTCTAATTCACTATGGATGATGTAAAATTTGCATTCCATTATCTAAGTCGGCATCAAATTATTCAAATATAAATAAAATACAACTGTTTTCCAAAGTTCAAATCTTGATATTTATTTCCCTTCAACTCGAGAGTCATCTACGCTGTCTTTTCCCCTTCATCACTCTGCAGAAGAGTGCCTGGTATTTTCCTGATATCTATTTCTGCCTCCTGCAGGATATTTTACTGGTATTTTAAAACAAATAAATGCTAAACTGAGCTTATTATCTTCCCTTCTCTGTTACTCACCAAATTTACTTCTTTAAACTGAACTTGTTTTCTTATTTCTACCTTTCCATTAATAGCATCTTCTCCCAAGTAACCAAGCTTAAAATCTTGCTCCTCTTTTATTCCCTTTTTCCCCATCCTACTCACCCCCAACCTGAATTATCAAGCCCATTTTACTCATACTATGTGCCCTACACTTATCTACACTTTTCCATCTCCTTGCCTGGATCCCCCATCCTCAAGGTTAATCTTTCTAAGGCACGATTTGGATCAATTTTTGGCTCAAAATTATTCAAGGACTCCCTAAACAAGTATTTGTCAAAAATGTTTCTTTAAGTGTTTAGAGGACTCTATGATACTGGTCCATCAT